TTTGAATTAGTCTAAGTTGGGATGCAACTCTAATGATACGAGGAAATCAAGGCAAGAGAAAGAGTTCCTCAAGGAGTTATGAACAATTTGTTACAACGTTCTCTCCAAACATACTTAACGTTGAGGCCAGCCTCCTTATCTTTTGGAGTATTGGAATCTATCATTAAGGGTAAAGATGGTGTAATCCAGCTCCTTTCACCACGTTCCTCGCTTAGTATGGCATATCAAGACACGGCATACCAAGACACGACATTTTATTTTGCCTTTTTTGTCCATGAATATATAGTTACAAACAATGAGATTTTAGGCTGGTGAGTTGCTTTGCAGAGTACGAGAAGAGGATAAGTAGCAAGTTCTCCTCAATTTGGTTTGTCTATTTTTATAATCATATCTAACACGACGGGTCATACTATAAGGCAGTATTTTGGGAAATTAAACCACCAAGTTACAACATTTTACCAAACCACTCTTTTTAGATGGTTCATGGTGTATGAGTAAGAAAATTTTATTTATCAACGCATTAAAAGATCAAAAAGTTAATCCTCCTAAAAGAAAAATTAGGATAACATGTACTTATAGATTCAAGAATACGACCGATACGATTGATTGGTCTGTGTGCCTCTCTTATTACTTTTTTGCATTCCCCTGTTCCTCGGATACAATTCGATCCTTCTACGGCCAAATCTCAATTTTTGTGGAAAGCCTTCGATGGCTTCCTTATGATAACATAAATTTATATTTGGGTATAGACGGTATCTCTTTATTCTTCGTGATATTGACCTCACGGGAAAAAAAAAACTTTCTTTCATTTTTAGAAGAAGAAGTTGGTTGTTTGCTTAGAGATATCATGAAACCCTTCTAGAAAGAACTCAACCAGCCATTTGATAAAGCGACTTTGGCTTGGCTAGATGAACAAAAGACATAAGGAAAGCTCTACCTCCTTCTGGCTTGCAATAGTGGTTTGAATACCCCGGGGTTATAGGCGTCTAAGGTATAAGAAAACTCAACCAAAACTAAAATTGTAAAAATGATCCCAAAGAGATTGCCACATCATAGACAATGAGATCTCAAAACTGTTCCACGGTCGTTAATGCATTGGTAAGCCGATAGTGAGGCCTTCACTAACTGCTATGAGTAAAGACATATAAAGAACATATGTTATCTTGCAGTCTTGCTTCCACCTCCAAAAGTCACCAAAGACGTTACACACCGCACTCGTCCAATCATCCTCTCCCTCGTTGGGTCTCGTTTATAACATGACAACCTATAAGATAAAACTATGTTTTGAGAATCGGTAGCCTATATCTTAAGTGTTCCTACACCTATTTAACATATATAGTTTGACCTAACATGCTCCATCATGTACCACTCATACCTTTATCAGTCGATTTCAAATCCAATAACCTTCTGTTTTGGATACATCTCGTTATACTCATATTACCCTTTAACTTAGTGTATATACCAATATACCCATACCAATTTTAACAATTTAGGTAGCATCTTTGCTAATCCATTGCAATTCTTTTTTAAGTTATAAGAAAACACATAGATTCTTACTCTTTGAACAATTCTTGAAGAACTTTTTGTATTTTCATATGATGTCCAGCTTAACTATTTTCAGTAGCATGTCAAATATAATATATAAACTGCTTCAAGAATTTATTCCTCTTTTAGAAATTAATTGTTTTTATTAGTGGGAAATGGTGTTTTCCCCATTATCGTTTGTGAAGCAAATCACACGTTTCCTTCGAACAAGGTAGCCAGAGAGAGGCATGCATTTTTCCAAAAACAGGGCGACGCGTGGACCTACCTAATGTTGACATATTTTGAAACTTTGTGGAGACAAAGTAAGTAATTAAGGGACATTAATTGTAGCTGTAGCTAAATTAAAAAATTAGTAAGTTGGTGGGGGAAGAACAAGAATCAGCTTCTGAGATTATGGAGATTGATTAATTATGTGATTAACGCCATGACAAGTGGTGAGGAAAATATAAGTAATTAATTGCTACTTGGGATATTGGTTAAATCATAAATGGGTAGTAAACAGGAGCAGTTTGTCGATGGAACGTGGAGAAAGAAATGGAGCATTGATGCCACTAACTAGTCAACTTGACTACCTCAAAGAGCTTGCAAGTGTGGGGTTTCTTAATGAATGAGGGTTTTACCAACGATAGATACTCGTATGGCTAGGAATCAGTGTGATTGCGGTTAACTGCACCTTGAATTTTTTTTTTAGATTGATATCTTATTTCTCTTACGTGCGTTCTCCTTAGAAATCCCGAATCCATTCTTTCACTGCCAATTTCAATTCCCCTCTTTTCTCTTCCTTCAAAAACTCATATCCTAATGTTTATAACCTTTCTCTTCGGTAGTTAGATTGCTATCAAATCAAAAAAATGTTTAAAAACCTTTCACTTCTGTACCTTGACTTTTACGCATGATTTCGCTTTTACGCTAGAAATTTTATTTTAACATTAACTTTAAATTCGACTCCAATTTATCAACCAAACCAGCCAACATCGATCTTTAATGCTTGGAAAATCCATACCGCGCATCTCGGAAACATTGACAACCCAACAACACTAAAGACTCCATCGTGCATAAGTCATAACTAGACTTTTTGTTTTAACATTAACTTTAAGTTCGACTCCAATTTATCGAATCATGTACAACATTGCAACCAAACCAGCCAGCCTCGATCTTTAATGCTTGGAAAATCCATACCGCGGATCTCGGAAACATTGACAACCCAACAACACTTAAAACTCCATCGTGCATAAGTCATAACCATATACCTAATGCATCTTGAAATCAATCAAGTGATGGCGTGCAAACGATGAAGTCTTGAGTCTTTGTGGTAATTAACATTTGGTCGAGAGCATATATAGTCCCACCAGTTGACTACCAAACATCACGACTAGAAACAAGAAAACGAACCAAGGAGATCGAGGAGATCAGGCAACTAAACAAAACCAAAACAAAGAATATACAGCTAATCGTGTGCCTGCTACGGCAAATGAAATGAAATATAATAACTATAATCAAATTGATAAAGAGTGATCGCATTTGGATTTTGTTCTCGTATGAGTTAGCTTTCGTTTGAGGAGCATGTTAATAAATGGTGTAAAGATCTATAATGGAACCTTTCTCGACCATTCGAATTTTTTGGAGTTAATAGTTTTATGCATGGTATCAAGGCTGGTTTGACCTAGTGGTCGTGTGCTCAAATCTAGCTCTACGGCCCCCTCGATATTAATAGTTGATTAAAGCACATGATATGGTGAGCCTGCACAAACTTCAAGTTCATGTTTTTAATTTGAAAGGAGCGTGTAAGAGAGTAGTATATGGTTCACAATTAACCTTCTCACAACAAGTCTTGTTAGAAGGTGCATTCACAACAAGTATTTGAATGCACTTGTTAGACACTTAACTGAGAAAATATGCAGGAGTTGTGACGGCTGATTGTATATATAATTCACATGTACTTTATTCTAATATCTTTATTAATACTATATCACGATTACCTTAATTTTTTTTAAATAGCTCGAGTTATTGGTACCGGTTGGTTTGTGAAAATTCTTAGTTAACAACATTAGTTTTAATGAAAGTTGATTGATTGTGAATATTCGAAACTCTGTATGTGTAATATTTATCTTATTAATAAATTGAAATTATAATCCTCTTTTCTAATTTTAATTAATTAAACACGTAAAAACACGTGTGATTTCACCTTTTTAATTTTGAAATAATCCAAACGAAAAGACAAAATATGAGCTATATTTCTGTGAGAAATTTATTTTTCCTGACAGCACTACAGCAGGATATATTTGGAATCTTATCTGACAAATAAAATGTAAGAAAGATCAACTATTCTTTTTAAGAATATCTTTGATCATATGGAAGCTATTATGTCTAATAATTAGCTGCAAATCACAATAATATAATAAGATGAATATGAACTCTGATAGACAACTTGCAGGTCCAGACTTGTCATTTCTGGCCAAAAAAATTCCAACAAAAATTTGATTATCTCAGACGGCTGTCTATGACTATGTTCCTATTATCCTATCTGTTTACAGATTATTATACTTAAATAATACTAATTAATTAAAAAATAATAATATCCAACTGTTGAGGTGCAGTAGTATGACTTTGGCCCTACATTGAGGCCTCCCACTATGAGACCATGCTCGCAAATAAATTAACAGGCCATATGATACATAAAGTCGCATTAACTAGAATTTGACCAACTATTAATTAGGTCACCAAATATGTGCTTCATACAAATTATGCAAAATTAGTTCAGTAGTTTAGTCGTTATTAGTCATTAGTATAGCTATTGATAAATCATTTCGATCAAAACAACACTTGCAAAACTCTGTCGGAAGATGGAAAGACGGCAGAAAGGTTACAACTTATTTGGTACCGGAAAGATCATGTCATCTATTGCACTCTAAATGATTGGTACTTTGAGACACAAATATGTGCTTCATACAAATTATGCAAAACTAGTTCAGTAGTTAGTCGTTATTAGTCATTAGTATAGCTATTGATAAATCATTTCGATCAAACAACACTTGCAAAACTCGGTCGGAAGATGGAAAGACGGCAGAAAGGTTACCAACTTATTTGGTACCGGAAAGATCATGTCATCTATTGCACTCTAAATGATTGGTACTTTGAGACACAAATTGAATTTGTACCGTAATGGTGTAAGTATAAGATCAGTTTTTTTTTCGTCAAGAAATTTGAACATATGCTACGAATTCAGATCGTATTCAATTTGTATTAAAAGTTTTTTTCACAGACTGTTGCATCTACCAATTTCTAACGTTGTTGTCAATCCAGCTCTTATGATTTCTATCCATGGAAACAAAAGCTGGCCGGCCGCCTTAAGGTGACTAGGATTGTCGACATATTAGATTAGAGTATAGTGGGGGTGTCGCTGTCGTTGTAATATTCTAATCTCGATTTTGTATGAGGAAACAAACAAACAAACAAATCGTGCAATTGATGATGATAGATTAATGAAGAAGCAAAACCTATCTGGACAAAAATAAAGTTTCTGGTAGAGCGATGTGACACCTAGTGTTCATATCTTCAACTGCAGAAATGGCGAATCAGCAGGAGTTGCTTACTATACATAATCACTTCACATAATAGTGATCATCATATTGACAAAGAACATGAACTAATTGCAACACTGGATATAGGGTAGTGGAAACCCTAGACAATTAACAAGTAGTCCAGAGAAATCTGGAGCTCTATCAGCTTGGGAAATGCAGCATCAGCAACACTTACACTGCCTCCCAAGAACTCAAGCCCGACCTTCTTCACAGGCAAATCGCACGCAGCTCGAGATACTCGAGCGACATCAATTTCCCTCGCGCGCGGAGAGGCAGAGTCCCACAGTTGATGCTGTCTGGATTTCTTTAAGACACATAAAGCATCCTAGATTTTCCGCTGTAAGAGGCAAAACCACCACACTTCTGTCTCACTATTTCCTTACCAAGCTCTTCAACGTAAGGATGATGTTTCCCATCATATCCCAGAAAAGCGTGTTGCTCAAATACCGAGCAACAAGCCTCTCCTCTGACAATGGCCGCAATTGAAACATGTGAGCCTCAGAAGAGCAAAGCAAAGCAGCAGCAACACTCTTCTTATGGGTAGTCACCAAAATTCTGTGCCCTGCTTTTCCACCACCCAGTGAGCCCAGTAGTTCTTCCCGCATACTGAAATCTGCTTCCCACACATCATCCAAAACCAACAAGTACGTTAATTGACTAACAATGCTATATATCTCCTCCAACCTAGCTGATAGCTCATCTAGCTCCGGCTTCTTCCCCAAAAGAGATCCAAGGATTGCTTTGGCAATCCGCAGCTCGTCAAAGGGATCAGAGAAACACACCCAAATTTGCTTGTCGAAATGATTCCTAACCTCCCTATCGATTTGGCCAAAGTGGTTTTCACACAATTTTATTAATGAATCATGTTCACTTACTATCTATATGTTCACTTACATTCAAACACATAACTTAGTTTTTTTACACGCATCAATCAATCTTATCTATCATAAACCGGTTTATTTTATTTACACAATCTCACAAAACTCTATTAACTGGTATCACTTTATCCCATCGAGCACTAACTATTTCGTGATTGCTAAAATTTATTTAAATTCCTAATATTTTTACCAAAACTAGATGGTGAATAAATAGATTGGTCTGAGACATAAGCCTTTTCCCTTTGTTTGTATGGTAAGAAACTGGAACCGGCAGGAGTTGCATACTATTAATTAAGTAGTGAAAGGAGAAAGTGCCGCTGAAATTTACCTGTTGTTCAGTCGTAGGACATTCCATCCATCATGTAATCAAAGGATGGACAATCGCAGAGCTCGTCTGGTAATCAGAAACATTCAAGTTATAAACCCCATTAGGAAAAAAAAGAAGATTTTGAAGGTTGAAAGAACAAACTCACTGAATGGGAGTGCTTTGCCGCAAATGCACTCGTTTTTATCTGTCCATATCATCATTCAGAATAACATTAGTTTCTTGTGATATTGATCATTACGACGATAAAAATGAAGTTCAAAGGAAATTACCAATAACGACTGCAGGAATGCGAGCAACTTTGTGGCGTTCTTCTCCGCCCAGTTGATACAAAGAACAAAGGTGGTAGCAATATGTGAGTTTTAGCGTCTGCAGCGTTGGCTTCTGGATAAGTTGGTCTGGAAGCTTCTCCAAATCATCGCAGAATCCTATGTACAGATTGCGAAGGCAAGGCAAGATCTCTGCATATCTAGTCGTTTCTTCCTTGGTATACTCCCACTGATACCAATATTTGAACGACGTAATCTTCAGTTCTACTAGACTAGGGAATGCAACAATCTTGTCACTACCAATTTCCCTTCTCCCGAAAAAATCAACGTCCACTCCATGAAAGCCATCTAGTTTGAGATACTCGAGGTATGGCAACTTCCACAGAGGGGGTAATTGCAAGCACTCTGTAAAATCTTCGAGTGTAAGCCTGGTCAGATTGATTAGCAATGGCAGCCAGCTAGGACTCACTTTGCCTAGATAGTGTCGAATGGCTAAAACTTCCAGATTCATTGATGGTTTAAGTGCTTCAACCATCTTTTGATGCTCAGCTATCATCTGCTTTGACGGTAGGTCATCTCCTTCAAATGCCAACGACAGATTGGTGATGTGCTTTTTACTCTCCAGTTGTGCATGCTCGGCATCCTTTGCATGCTCCGACGATTCTCCCAATCCCGATATGAGTAAGTTTCCAGAGAGGTGGTTGAAGTTCTGCAGATCTCTAAGAGAAGGTGTAACACCATTCTCGCCCAGTCTCAGCTCTGACAATGTTCTAAGCCCTGTGAGCCTACCAATCCCTCTAGGAATGGACCCTCCTCCACCAGCATTAATTAAATGTCTCAAGCTGACTAGTTTCTCCATCCATTGTGGCCATCTTTCCAAACAGCGACAGTGCTCTACATTCAAAGTTTGTAGATTAATCAAATCGCATAACTCATTAGGCAACTCCTCCAAGTCAAAATTATGAGATAAGTCTAGCATTCTCAACTGTACAAGCCTGCTGATAGTAGGTGGCAACCCTTTGACACCACAATTACTTAGGCTTAATGATCGTAGACACTTTGGTAAATTGGCGAGATCATTAGGGAGGTTACTCACACGGAAAAAATTTACACGAAGAACCAAAAGGGTGCGCAGGCTCTTGAAAGCATCAGGAGAACAAGGGAACTGAAGTTGTCCGTTGGAGGATACGACAACTCTCAAATGATGCAATCTTTTGCTGATGTCGTCCATTTTAGACTCGTCGATCACATTAACATCGTTGCCATAAGATTCATCGCTTGAAACGAATTCAGCAAAATCATGCACCAAGTCATGCATTCGACAAGTAACAATGTTATCAACCATGCTACCTTTTCTGATGTCTTGGAAGAAAGAACGAGCAGCTAAACTTTCAAAGTACGTATCTCCGATCAATTCCAGGTCCTCCTCTTTCGAGGGTGCTCCAAGATAACCTTGAGCCATCCACAACTTAATCAGTGTGTCTTTTCTAATCAAAAAATCTTGAGGAAAAATCGCACAGTAGGAAAAACATTGTCTCAATTGTGGGGATAAATCGTAATAGCTTAACCACATATGTGCAAAGAGTCAGTTCTGAGCTTTTCCACTCCCCATATCCCACTGTGCAACACTTTGTTCCATTCTGGCCTAGACTTTTTGGAGGAAAGAAAGCTTCCTAGAATCCTTGCGGCCAGAGGCGAACCATGACATTTTTCTCTTACTATAATATCGGCAATATCTTTTACCCGTCCACACTCTTTCTCATCCCATTTGCAGAATGCCCATTGACTGAAAACCGCCATACAAGCCTCCATAGATAACTCCTTTAGTTCCAATGTTCGGGAGGACTCATTGCTACCCACCAGAAGATTATTGGCAATACACATGCTCAAAGCATTAGCAACATCATTACGACGAGTAGTCACCAAGACTCTGCTTCCAGATAAACCGCTTGATAGAGAAGCCATTATTGACCTCCAGCTGTCTATCGAGTCTTCCCACACATCATCCAGAACAAGAAAGAACTTCTTCTTCCCAACCTCTCTTTCTATCTTCCCTAAAATCACAGATAAATTTGAAGAGCCTGGTTTCTCACCTGATAGAGATTCAAGGATCGCACTGGCAACCTTGGTCTCTTCAAATGAATTAGAGACGCACACCCAGATGCTACTGTCAAAATGACCCTTCATTTCCTTGTGCAGAAGCTGAGCAAATGTAGTCTTCCCCAATCCACCCATCCCTACAATAGATGCAATCTTGAGATTTGCAATGTTTCCCCCCATTAGAAACTCCAAGATTTGACTCTTCTCCAAATCCCTACCATGAACTGCTGCATCCAGGACATGACTAGTCACCCTAGACGCAACAAATTTCTTCTGAGGCTGACTAGTGGGAACAATCTCTTTATAACGATTTCTCCCTTCGGCAATGAAATCGAGTTCCTTATTCAGATCCTTGATTCTCCTAGAGATATCGTACCGCATGGGGATTTCCCGAAAGGAAAAGCAGGAGGAAGTAGGGAGATAATCACATACGCTGCTGAAGAAAACGGAGATCTGGAGAAGGCGAGCATCGAGCGAGCTGAGTTGCTCCTCCTCCCGGCTGTCCGATCCTTCGATTTGACGTTTGAGGATCGCCGTTGACCACTCGTCGAGTAGATCCTCCATCTCGTAGGCTTTGATTTGAAGCTCGTCGATCCAGAGCTCGGTGACCTTGTCCGCCAGCTGCTGCTCCTCCGCATCGGCGAGCACGGCCTGGATGAGCTTGAAGGTTGCGGTGAGGTTGCGGACGTTTCTGTCAGCGCCGACCACGAGACGCGCGCTCTGCTTGAGCTCCTCCACCAAGATCGAGCCCAGTTGCTCGACGACGGTGGAGACGATGCCGGAGACTAGAATCATGGTTGCAGAGCGAGTCAGGTCAGATAAATTGGCGACAAAAGTACAATTGCATGCACAAAAAAAACAGAGAAGCCCTCTTGGATCGAACTTCACTGCCTGAGAATGCTGAAATGAGGAACTGGAAAACTTTTTGATTCCCACAGCTTCTCCGTTGACCAAGGAAGTCAACGCATGGCCATCTCCATCCATTCTGTTTCTTCTATTTAAGTATTTCAATCCTCAATTGTTTATTGGTCTCGCATTTCCCGCCAAATTAAGTTACGGTAGTGGGAACGCTTGGTAGTTATCATAAATGGTCACAAAACTATTCACTTTGTACAAAACGGTCACAAATCTTTAGGGTTAATTGCATGGTTGGTCACTAACATTACAAAAAGCGTTCATGTTTGGTCACTGAAAAAATTTAAATCCATTGTTGGTCACTAACTTTACAAAACCAGTTCATTTATGGTCACTCTCCGTTAGCTGCCGTCCAACGCCGTTAACGGCGTCCGTTAAGTGATGACGTGGCTGACGGATTCGCCTAATCAGCACCTTTTGACCCTAAAATTGACCGCCACGTCATTTAAATCCGCCATGTCAGCTAAACCTAACCAAACCTAACCAAACCTCTACCCAAACCCGAAAAGACCCAACCCGCTAACTAAAACCAAACGATTTTTGGACTAAACCCTATTCTAATCGCGCAGCCTTCCTCCATCGCGCAGCCTTCCTCCATCGCGCAGCTTCCTTCCTGGAGATTTCTCCGATCGCGAATTCGCCGGCGGCGCAGCCTTCCTCCCTTCCATCCGCGCAGCCGGCGCAGCCTTCCTCCCTTCCATCCGCGCAGCCTTCCTCCCTTCCTCCCTTCCTCCCTTCCGTTTTCTTCCTCCATCGCGCGCGGCTGACTTCCCCCCTTTCGCGAGCAGTTAACCCAAACCCTAAATCGAAGCTTCGAAGCTTCGATTCTCCTCCACTCTCTGACAACGAGGCCGGTTCCCTTTGTTTATTCGATTCTCCTTCCACTTTCTGAGCAGTCAACAAAACCCTAAAGGTGAGTTTCTGCCTTTTCTTTGTTTATTCGAGACCTGTCTGGAAAGACTGAAAAGGAGAAAAGAATAGGGGGCAGAGGAAAGAATCTCGTGTGTGTTATTGCTTTTGGGGGTTCACTGTTAGCTTTCTTTTATACTAAATTGCATGTTGTTGTTGGTTTTCCAGGTCACCATTTCACCGAAGGCAGCATGGTGGGGCATGTGCGGGCTCCAAATGAAACTCAGCCTAACTATGGTAAGTCTCCCGTCGTTTTCGCCCTTGTCATTATGGTAGATGGCTGGTTTTGATGGTAGATGGGTGGTTTGGGTTGTCCTTTTCCACAGTTGGCATTTACTAGAGATGAGGACATCACTTTGGGTAGAATAGGAATAGAAAAATGCAGGGTTCTGTGGGAATGAGGAAAAATGCAGCCTTAGGGTTTGACTTAGTCTTTCTTTGAATAGAAAATGGTGGGACTTGACCACCTACTTACCTGCTCCATAACTGCTCATTTCATTTTAAATTAACTCCTTTCAATTGCTTTTTTTTTTGACCAAACAGCTACTTCAAGTGGAGAATTCACATTTGCAGTTCATGTGTCCCATGAAGTGAAAGAGGTTGGCGGCAAACATTTCCTCAATGAAACCTCCACAGTGCATTGGGACTATGCAGACATTGATGAACTCTCAATCCTCGACCTTCCTGGCATATATGAGGCGTGTGGTGGGAAGATTAAAGAGCCGAGGTTCTTCTGGAAAGATCCTTCCAACGATGCAATGTCAGAGCTTGTCAATGATGAAGATATTCTGAGCATGTCAATAGCGGCCAACGGCAAGGGAAGAGTCATCGAGCTGTATGCTTTCGCGGTTGATGATCTTGACGATCTCTTGGATAGTGAAGTTGAAGAAATGGAGGCTGCCAGTTTGGGAAGAAAGGGGAAAAATGTTGCTGGAGATGATTTATCAGGTGATTCTGACTATCATGAGGATGAAGACAGCGACTATTTGGAGGATTCTGAAGAAGATGGTTCAAGGGACAATGCACATTTTGCAGCAAATATCACTCAAGAGGTGGAAGCCGACATGGGTACATTTGAAATGGATGATTATCCTGAACTATTTAGGGAGACTCCTGATTATCCAGACTCTGATGATCGTAGGAGCATTGCTGAATCAGACTCTGATGAAGGACAGGAGACTCCTGAATTCCGGGTTGATCGAGACATGGAGATGCCTACCTTTGCTGCTTCCCAGAAGTTTAGCAACTTTGGAGTTCTAAAAGATGCAATAAAACAGCATGCTTTCGTCGAGAAGAGGCCAGTTCGCTTTAAAAAGAACGATGGAAAGCGGCTGCAAGTAGTGTGCCAACCTCCATGTGATTGGTACATTTGGGCATCGAAGATGAGCACCGAAGAGTCTGTCCAAATCAAGAAGTGCAAGGTTGAGCACTCACCTGATTGTAGGAAGACCTTCAAGGTCAAGTACGCAACTGCAAAGTTCCTCGGCTCCAAGTTAAGTAAGAAGATGGCATGTGATAGGAACATGAAAAGGGCCTTGCTGAAGCACATTGTCAAAGAAGACTACAAAGAAGACGTGAAGAACTCTAAGGCGTGGAGAATACGACATGCAGCAATTGAGGCGGTTCGTGGGAGTTTGAAGGATCAGTATAGGTCCTTGTACCATTATGCCGAAGAGTTGAGGAGGAGCAATCCCAACTCTACCGTTATCATTGAGCAGAGAGAACAATGCTTCAACAGGATGTATGTTTGTTTCGCGGCATCCAAGGTGGGGTTCAAGGCTGGATGTAGACAGGTGTTAATTGTTGATGGTTGTTTCTTGAAGCACGAGTATGGAGGGCAGCTACTATCAGCAGTTGGTGTGGATGCCAATGACCAATACTACCCAGTTGCATTTGCCCATGTTGGAGTAGAGAACAAGGAAAATTGGGAATGGTTCCTTGGTAATGTTAGGGACGACTTGAGTATAATGGACTCTCCTGGTTGGACTTTTATGTCTGACAAACAAAAGGTAAAAACTCTATTTAGTTGCTGATTTTATTAAGTGATTTTATTAAGTGATTTTATTAGTTGCTGATTGGTGTTTGTTTGTTGTCTTCAGGGTCTCTTGCCAGCACTTGACGAAATGTTTCCAAACTGTGAGAAGAGACACTGTGCACGACACTTGTGGACAAATCTGAAGGGTGCTTGTGGAGGTGGCCAAGAGTTGAAGAACTTATTTTGGACAGCAGCTAGGTCCACAACTGTAGCTGAGTTCAAACATCATATGCAACTGCTGTCCGATCTTAATAAGCCAGCCTACGATTGGCTGATTAAGAAGCCCTTCTATCATTGGACCAGGTCTCATTTCCTAACTTACACCAGCTGTGATATTCTGAGTAGCAATAATGTGGAGAGTTGGAACAACACTATATTGGAGGAAAGGGATTTGGGTCCGATTAGCATGTGGGAGGGGATTAGGAGGAACTTGATGCTCCTACACGCCCGTAGACAAGAAGCGATCAGCAAGTGGCCAGGTCCTTTGACGGAGAAAATTGAGAAGAAGCTGCGGGAGTGGGAAGAAGAAGCTGTGAAGTGGACAGCTATTTCAAATGGAAGGGGTCAGTTTGAATTGAAGTGGCATGACAAGCAGGTAGTGGTCAATTTGAAGTCGAAGACTTGCACTTGTCGTCGATGGGAGTTAACTGGGATCCCTTGTGAGCATGCAATCCAGGCAATTGGTGTGGGAAACACTCAATTGTATGATTATGTAGCAAAGTGTTACACCAAGGAAACCGCAGCAGCCATATATGAGCATTCCATTTCGCCAACCAATGGTAAGGAATATTGGCCACAGTCTGAGTTGGGAGATTGTGGCATACCTCCTGTTCAAAACTCGAAGAAGAGAGGAAGACCAAAGAAACAGAGGAGAAAGGGATTAGATGAAGAAGCAGAAGCCAAGAAGAAACAAAAGAAAGGTGGGAGAGAATCATCGAAACCGGAAGGGAAGCAATACAAGTGCAAAATTTGTGGTCTACTAGGCCACAACAAGGCTTTTCATGATCCAGCAAGGAAACAGAAGGCAGAAGAAAGGAAGAAAGAGAAGGCAGAAGCAAAGAAGAAGCAGCAACTTGAAAGGGCTGAGCGAAACCGACTTGCTGCATTGAAGAAGCAGCAAGAGAAAGCTGCAAAGGCAGCCACTTCTTCGTCTAGGCAGCCCCCACACGTGGTTCAACTCATGCCAGATGTAAATGTTATGACTTTCTTCATTTCCCCGGCTTATTAAGAATTTCCAGCATACTAATGTAGGTTAATTTGCAGGGAAGTTCTCGAAGGCCATCATCAAGTCAAGGCTCTCAACTCTCACAGATTGCAAGCCAAGTGACTCAAGAAGAGCAGTTGTGAAGAGTAGATTTAAGTTATTGTGAATGGTTATTTTGAACTTTTAAACTCTAAGGCTTCTTGCAAATCAATGTGGATTTGCCATTTTGTCATACAAGTGCAAATCAATGTTGATTTGCCATTTTGTCATACAAGTCCATGGAGAAGGAACTTGTTAATTATGCATGGCTCTTTTGGACAACATAGCCGTTAATTATATGTGATCTGTTTGTTTCCGACTTAACTGTCAAATAGTGTAATGCAGAACAGTTAGGTATTGAGGTGTTGTTCTAAATCTGGCTTTTCATGTTATTGGAGTGACCAATTGTGGACCTTCTCATGTTTTTCAGTGACCAAATGTGGACCTTCTCATGTTTTTCAGTGACCAAATGTGGACCTTCTCATGTTTTTCAGTGACCAAATGTGGACCTTCTCATGTTTTTCAGTGACCAAATGTGGACCTTCTCATGTTTTTCAGTGACCAAATGTGGACCTTCTCATGTTTTTCAGTGACCATATGTGGACCTTTACATGTTTTTTAGTGGCCAAATGTGACCTTTACATTTTTTGAGTGCCCAATTGTGGAGCTTTAGGTTTTTTGAGTGACCAATCGTACAACTAACATTACTTTCAGAAACAAAACGTGAAGGGTTAATTTTTCTAGGGTTACAGTCTACAATACAGAAACGATTACATCAGCAAGGTTGAGCAAATAGCTTCTTACATCCCCAATCCCATCCAGATGAAAGAAAAGACAAGAGCAATCACAATGAAGATGAACACTGGACAGCCATTAGCTTTGGACCCTTGCCCATTTTGCCTCTTCTCGAGTTCCCGAATCCGACGATGAAAGTTCAGCAGCACAAACTTCATATGTTCGTCAACTACTGGGTCATGCCATCTGAAGAAATTACATGCCCCATCTGTCTACAGATCCAACCACAAAAACAGAGAGGGATGAAGGAGAGGATGGTCTAATGGTATACAAATCAAAGCAGAAAAGTCAGAAATCTTACCCCATACTTGCTGCACCCGTAGAACCTCCTCCCTGGATTCGCCTCTGTCCAGCTCGTCTTGAGATGTGATGCCAATCCACAACGACAGAAAGGTGTCGCCATTAGCAGAGGAGAAAGGGATGAGAAGAAAACAGAGCTGCGAAGGTTTTGGGAAGATGATAGGTTTCTTCTGCCCAGAAAACGACCTAAATAACATAGATGAGTGGGTGGGTTGGGTCTTTTCGGGTTTGGGTAGAGGTTTGGTTAGGTTTGGTTAGGTTTGGCTGACATGGCGGATTTAAATGACGTGGCGGTCAATTTTAGGGTCAAAAGGTGCTGATTAGGCGAATCCGTCAGCCACGTCATCACTTAACGGACGCCGTTAACGGCGTTGGACGGCAGCTAACGGAGAGTGACCATAAATGAACTGGTTTTGTAAAGTTAGTGACCAACAATGGATTTAAATTTTTTCAGTGACCAAACATGAACGCTTTTTGTAATGTTAGTGACCAACCATGCAATTAACCCCAAATCTTTAATTTTGTACATTTCGGTAACATATGTTTCAACTAATAACAAAAAGGTAATTTCGTCCATCTCCATCCAAAATTCTGTTAGTTTGGTCCGTCAGCTGTCCAGTCAACTGTCCACATCATCAAAATAGAGGCAGATAAACAAAAGGGAAAAGGAACTTCCCCTGTTGCCTTTACTTTTCCTGCAAAAAAGAAAGAAGAAGAAAGAAGGCCTGTTTGTTCTTCTGAAAACCTTTGGAATGTTTTTCCCCCTTTTTCCTCCTTCTCCTTCTTTCTTCCTACCCGTTCGGTTTGATGAACAGTGAAGAAATTATGCTCCGTTGGAGGAAAGAAAAAACAGAGCAAGTTCAGTTCGGTAGAAACAGGGGAGGGAGGGGAACAGAGTGTAGATAGAGGGAGATGGGAGGGGTTACTTCATCAATGGCGTCGAAATTGGCCTTCTTTCCGCCGAACCCACCATCATACAAGTTGGTGGCAGACGAAATGACGAGTCTTTTGCTGCTGAGCTCTTTTCCGCACCGGGAAAACATGGAAATCCTGCAGCTGCCAACGAGAAAGGGGACGGAGGTAGTGGCGATGTACATAAGACATCCCATGGCTACTTCCACTATGCTTTACTCCCATGGGAACGCCGCCGATCTGGACCAGATGTATGAGCTCTTCGTCGAGTTGAGCATCCACTTGCGGGTCAATCTCATGGGGTAGTAAAACTAAACCAAAATATGCTCACTAAAATCATATGCTATGTCCTTTTCTATTTTTCCTTTCTGCCTTTTGTCCGAAAGGCGCGCTTTGATTTGATACAGAGGTGGGATCGAGCTTCCCACCATCGAAATCCGATTTTAGAATCTAACAGTGGAGGCACAAGCTCGATCTGCAAGCAGAGCTCTGCCCACCATGTACAATTTTGTACTCAACTTAGCAGAGGTACAAAATTGGAGCGGAAGCTTAGTAGAGGGATCTGCAAAAATGTGTAAATCTCGACGGATTTCGAAGGCGGGGCAGAGATTGTTATTATGACGATAAATTTGAGTGGAAGCTGAGAAGGCGGTGCAGAGATTGTGGCGGAGAGGGAAGGAGATAGAAGAATGAGTTGGGTTGGATTGGATTGGGTTGGTTAGGGTTTAATTGGTTTTATTTTATTTTTTAATAATTATTTTGATGATGTGGCAGCTGACTGGATCAAACTAACAGAATTTTGGATGGAGATGGACGAAATTACCTTTTTGTTATTAGTTGAAACATTTACTGAAAGGTGCAAAATTAAAGGTTTCTGACCGTTTTGTACAAAGTGAATAGTTTTGTGACCATTTATGATAACTACCCGGGAACGCTTTGAGTTGTGGGCTTGTGGCCCAATGGGACGGGATCATTCACCCATTATGGGTCGTCGGCCGGGCCTCGTCTAGTCGTCTTGATCCTCAGATTCCTCACGCATGGGCCATGGATTGTCAGTCGGTTGAACATGATTCAACCGGTGCCATCATGATGGCACCATCGATATAATTGACATGATCAATTTACATTATGTAAGTAAAATGACGTCGTTTTAGTAAAGTTAAAATAAAAAATGAATTTTACATATTTTATGAATTTATTACATATTTTATTAATACAAAAGTTAAAAGTTTATGTAATTTGTTCGATTCATGTACAAACACTTAACTATTGACGTTAAATGTTGTATTTAAATATGAGTACTTGTTATTTTATTTAGCCGGCATGAATCAGAACAAACCGGTCGTATCATTCCAATCGCTAAATCAACGCAACGGTTTAAATCGGTTTGACAACCTCGGTATTCACAATCGGAAGACTAATGAGTTTGAGTCATTTATGTCCAGTTCACATCGGTTGATTCTCACGTCGAACTTTTCCACTTGCTTTCGATGGTCTAGTGCGAGACCGCATTGGACCCAGCTGAAGTTTGGATTGGAGTGTACCGGACCGAGTATAATGGGGGTCTGATCTTTGGTCCACATGAATTTTACAATTATTGAATAAATGATGGAGTGAACTGATATTTGGACTGGACAAACTGGACCAAATGGACTGACAGCAATGATGGTCCGATTCTTGGTTCTAAAATTCTTTTACTAATAGACTGCGATTCTCATGAGTTTGGTATGGTCTGAGTTTTGTTACCTTTTTCGTTTAGAATTCTTTTCCTTTTTGGTGCTTTCATTAGGTTTATTTTTCATACCTATTTAAAGGGTTGTAAGCCACGAATTTTAGGGGACTATTCATATTATTCAGACTTCGATAATGGAAAACCCTTTTTCGGTTCATTAAGTTTGTACTCGTGGATTTTGTCCTTGTTTGTTGGTGGATCTCTAGCATTCGACCGAGCTCTGTATCAATCAGGTATTCCCCTTGATTGTGGTCGAGTTGCTAACCCTTTATATTGTTCAAGCCTCTTCCCTATTTGTGTTGAAGCTGCACGACAATTCCGCCCTATCCTTTACTTTTTGAGTTGTTGAGAGAAAATAAAAAAAAAAAAACAAAAAACCTAAAAAGGTCGAAGTTGCGCGACTTTGACAAAAGAACCAAAGCTTTCACAAGCTCGCATTCTTATCAGCTGGGCTAGTAGAGCCATCAAATTAGTTACCATAGCGGTCTGATTCATTGCTTGGACTGTTATTGATGGACCTAACGGTTTTTCACGGTTTAACATAAACCCATATGAACCACCACGATTTAACTATTCCGCTGATTCACTATTTTAACCACAAAAAATTATAAAAAAAATACTTTAACATAAACTAAGATCATCAAACAATAATTATTAATATTATTTTTGCTTACTCTTCTCATTTTCCAACCTTGTTTTCGACTTTACGTGGTCTATTAACTACTAGCATCTTAATTTTTAACTTTATTTATAAAAGTTAAGATTTTTTTTTTGTGAGACAGTTTGAATGATTTATTAGATATTTTGGTGATAAATGAATTTGAAATTGTTAAATTATATATCTCACCATATATAACGTTTAACACGTTGAGTATGTGAGCAAATATATCTTATTTTCTACTTTAAAAAGACATTAAGCATCATATATTGCTTCGATACTATGAAATAACATGATTTGGAGTAGGTAAATTTATTAACTAAATGATATATGATACCAACAAAGTATAATATGAGATTAGCTAACAAAAAAAAAAAACATATGTATCATGATATACAAAATGAAGTACCAAATAAAAGTTAAGATTTTAATAAACAAGCTAGCTCGACCTCGACTCGGCTCGTCAATAAACGAGCTGAGCTCGAGCTTGAATCGTTTATTAACGAGCCAAGCTCAAGCTAGGGTAAAAATCGACCCGACTCGGCTCATTTGTCGCCCTAGTTTTTAATAGACCTAGGATGTGTTTTGTATCATTTTATGCCTTTTTGGTAGTGTTTTGTGATTTTCAAGGTCAAACACATTCTAGGTTAACTTGAATCAATGAATGGATCAAATTGGAGGATCATGAGGGATATTTACTGTGAAGATATGGGTGCTTTGTCCATTAATCGATGCGACAACAAGGGAAAGTCTTCATGAAGTCATCATAAGAGCTCAAGAGGAGTCCACTAGAGAAATTTCATCTCAATCACGCAAGAAAATCCATGGTGGCCTTATGATTGGGGTAGCCACCGCTGAGCCAAGACAATCAAGTCGTGTTGAAACTCGAAGGAAGAGTTGTTTTAGGGCCAAGCAACCCAATGGAGCAAAGAAACCCATGGCGGGTCCGACCACTGTTGAGTCACTACTCACTTCAAGCCCAAAAGAATATCTAGAATATTCCTTTCTTCGTCTCCAAGACAGTAAATCTGAGTCCCAGTGGTATCAGGAAGCCTTTGGCCGCATTTTAGGAGGAAAAAGTACCTAGAGATCCCTAGTTCTTTCACTATAAATAGAAAGACTGGTTAAGGGATTCAGTAAGCTGTAATTAGCAGTCATAGGAGGGTGCAGCTAATGAGATTCCTTGATCATTGATGGTGGTATAATCCTTCTCTTCAACATATTGCTATTTCAACTTCGTTGTTAAGGATGCGAGTTCTATTTATGCTTATAACATCTTCTTTCTATGATATTATGACGAGATTTTATTCATTGTTATCTATTTTATGCTATGTTTGTATCATTAGATGTCATAGCCATGTGATGCTTATGGTAATCGAATGTCTTAGTTATACAATGCTTAAATCAAGCGATGCCTATATCACCTACTGTGTTCTATTATAGTATTGCTTATAATATCATTATATGTTGTATGAAAACCCCAACTTAGGTGATATGTCATTGTCTTAGTCATGTATGGAATGGATTAATCACCCATCTATACTGGACTATGTTTAATGCTTGATATCTTAGATCATCAATGCTATAGACCATCACTATGGTTTGTAAAGGCCTTATATAGTGATGTGTTATCCATACTCCCCTGATTGATTGATTAGTCTATTGGCATTAAGCGAAAACACACATTAGCTAGTAATAGTTCCTATTACATGGGGTAAAAACTCAGATAGGATTACCTTAGTGGAAGGGAAAGAGATACATGATAGAAGATGCATCATAGCTTATCATCATTGAGATTGAAATGCATGACCATCAAAAATTAATTTTCTTATCAATATGTATCTTTACTTTGATTTTCTTGTCTTTTATGTTATGTTTTACATTATATGCATCTCAAAAACCAACTAAAATTAGGGAATCTCAACCTATCTATTTCTGTTGAGTCTTTGTTTGAGCATTAGATGATAAGATGCAAATATTATTAAAAAGTCTTGTGGAATACGACCCTAGACATATCTAGGATTTATAACTTTGATTGCATTGATTTGATTACCACAAACATTGATGATATCAGGTAGTCAAGGATCTTAGGTTTTCAAACATACCATTATTTTCTGCGTATGCTTGCGACTCATCGAGACCTATTATTTTATGCCATAACAGTGGGAATGATCGTAATCAGTTAGTCGGTTGATCGTTTAACCGTTAGTTACTAACTATTTAACTGCTAACAAAATAACCGATTAACCACCCTACTCATAACAATTTTTAGCAGCAAACATATGTTGTATAGTTAGAGCTCCATGTACTTTCTAAGCAAACACTCTAAATGTTGTGGAAATTGCTCACGTATACTATATCTTGCAAAACAAGTAACATGTAAGATCACGAAAAATCATGCAAATATATGTAATCGTCCTAGCCGACATAATTCAATATCACCACTTAAGGAATCTTATTCCCCTCTAGTACCCAAGGTTATGGATGATTCCTCCCAAGATAGAAAGGACGTACCTTTCCGGTGTAACAGTACCTCAAACCCCAAAAATCATCGAACGCAGCGAAGCGGCGAGAACCACACTTGACTCGATTTTTCTTTTGAAAACAAGGTAAAAAATCAGTTTACATTTTGGCAGAGTTTTTGATTAGGGAAAAAAACGTATCAAAACCAGAGGGGTATGTGCTTATTTATAGAGAATGAAGGGGTGCGTATGAAGGGAGGCAACTCTTCGTATGGGTGGTTGCACCCCAACCATTGCATTGGTTGGTTCAGAATTTCTCAACCATTGCATTGGTTCGGCCCATGGAAGTTGGACTTGTTTGATTATTCCAACCGTCATATCGATTTGGTTCAACTCAGTTTGGTTTGGTCTGGTTGATTACACAAACCAATTTAACCGATTACCCACATGTTAT